GGCAAGGAGGACGGCGAGCTGGTCGTGGAGCTGGCACCGGCGGGCCGGCCGGGCCCCGAGCGTAAGCCGGGTGGGGCAGTGCCCGGTCCTGGCCAGGCAGGGCGTCCCCTCACACGGCTGTGCGGGTGGGCGCCGCGGGGGCTCCTGGCCGCCCTCCTGACCTCCGTCCTGCAGGGTCCACGTGGCCCTGTCCAGGAGGGCTTGTCAGTCCCCAGAGGGGCCCAGAAGGACGGGGACCTCGGTCCCTCATACGAGGCTGGGTTGGTGGCACTGTCACGGTTCCCCAGCAGCCCTCTTGTCTTCCGTCCTGCCGGGGTCCGGTGTGGCCTCGTCCTGCGTCTCTCAGGGGGAGCCCTGAGGTGTCTCAACATAGCCAACCATGGGGACAGGAGGTGGGAGGGCCACCCAGGCCCCGTGCGGCTCCTCAGCTTCCTGGTGAGGAGCGGTTGGTTTCTGTCCGGGGTCCACGTAGGCGTGTCCATGAATCCCTCCTGCTCCCGGGATCTGAGTGGCTGGGCCTCAGGCCTCCTCTGCCCCGGCCCTGGCGTCCTCAACGTCGGCTTCTTCTGTGTCTCCAGCCAACACCTACGAGGTGCAGGTGATTACAGGGAACGTGCCCAAGGCGGGCACCGACGCCAATGTCTACCTGACCATCTACGGTGAGGACTACGGGGACACGGGCGAGCGGTCCCTCAAGAGGTCGAACAAGTCCAACAAATTTGAGCAGGGGCAGGTAGAGCGGGGGCCCGACCTGGGTGGGTGTGGTGGTCCCAGGGCCCTCCGGGGCGTCCACAGCAGCCTCCACCTGGGGCACGGCGTCGGCGGCATGTGGGCCCACAGTTGGGTGGCGTGCCTGGTGCACCCCACCAGGGTCACCCCTGTGGCCCCGGGCTGGAGGGCTCACGAGAAAAGTGCAGGGGCCAGCGTGTGGGGCCATGGGACCCCAAGGAGCAGCCTGAGGAACGTGTCACGGGCAGGTGCCCCGGCGCTGAGCAGGGGAGCGGGTTCCCGGGAGGTGCCGCTGTGAGCAGGTGGAAGGGGTTCTCGGAAGACGCGATCCCGGGAGCCAAGAGCTGGGGCCGGTGCCAGGGCAGCGAGTCTTCCATGACCAGCGCCAGTGGGCACGCTGGGCTGAGGCCACACAGGGTGGGGACGGGGGGCTGCGGGAGGCCTGCCATGGGCCTGAGGAGGGAGCCCAGGAGGGGGCAAACCTGCCTTGCTCTCCTGGGGGCGCTGGGAACACACCACCCACATGGCCACCCGTGTTTGCCCGGACTTTACAGTGGCCCCCGGCCAGAGGACCACCCCTTGTCTTGCCTGTCCCGTCCCTGCCCCCATCCCACAGCCAGGGTCTCCCGTTCCTATAGAGAGGCAAAACAAAACCACTAACCAAAGTCATCACAGCATTCCTGGCCCGTTGCTCCGCTGACCTGAGGCCTTTGCTTGTGGTTTAATCCACCCTCTCCGACGACGGAGGGCGAGGGCCACTCCCGTGTCTCAGAGCGTTCCTTTGGGCCTGGCAGACACTGTTTTCCTGGACGAGGAAACAGCTGCTCTCCAGGATGGCAGGACTACTGCGGCTTTGAGCACTGAGCATGGCTCGAGTGTTAGATCAGAGTCTGGGTCGATGGCTGGTTTCCGGGCGGCACGCCTGTCCTGGGACAATGGGCAAACAGCCACACGCCTGTAACCCGTGTGAGGGGCTTAGGAGTGATGGGCTGGGGAGCAGCCACCTACTTTCAAAGGACTTAGAAAAACAACAGAGAGAGCAAGCCAGAGAGAGGGGGAGAGGGAGACAGAGATGGAGACAGAGAGAGACAGCCAAAGAGAAGGGGTGGGGGGAGAGAGAGTCAGAGAGAAGGGAAGGGGAGAGAGAGAGAGAGAGAGAGAGAGAGAGAGAGAACGAGAGCGAGCCAGAGAGAGAGCAAGCCAGAAAGAGGGGAAGAGAATGTTGCCATCAGCGCAGAATTTAAGTGAGGCTGGCAAGCTTTTGCTATCCTATTTCTGCATGTTTTCTGTAGATGTGGGAGCCAAACAGCCACAAAGGTAGAGATAACTGACATGGGGACAGTAAGAGAGGGGAGGTGGGGAGGGAGATTGTGATCCAGAAGCCATCTGTGGGTGCAGTGTTCCCTGTCTGGGGAGTGGGCCACGGAGACCCAACCCCACCACTACGCAAAACGTCCACAGAACGAACGTGCACTTGGACCCCCTGCATCTACAATCATTGTTAATAAGCGATTTGAAGTCTTTTTCAAAATGAAGAGCCCAAAAGGTGCTAGAGCAGACCCCCTACCCAGGGGTCCTGGATCGCCCCTTCCTCCGGGACTTGAAGCAGGCACACCCTGGCGGGTTCACGAGTCAGTCCACTTGCCCCCCACAGCCAGCCATCCCTGCCGTTGGTTTCCAACTGGCGCCTGGATCTCCAGGATCGGCTCACCACGAGCACTTAATGCCACCTGTGGCTGAGGAGATTCTGCGCGCGGCCCAGGGCCTCAGGGTGGCCTCCACACCCACAGATGCAGGCAGCACCCAGCCTGTCTTCCCCTCGGCCTGTCATGGTCACCTCCCAAAACCTCGCTGCTCCCACACAGTCCACGAGGTCATCG